CTACTGCGATCAACATCCTAATGCATGTAATCTTTGTAACAGGTGAATAATATCGAAGTAGTCGAAAACTTCACGTTGCCTGTAGCCTTTTTCCACAAGCCTAGCTTTATATTTATCAATAGTACCATTTTCTTTTATTTTTCTTTTGAATACCCACTTACTTCCTAAAGGCTTATTGCTAGGAGGAAGGTTTATCAATTTCCAAGTGTGGTTTGACAATATAGACTATATCTCACTATTGATAGCCTCTTCCCAAAATGGTGCTTTTGGGACATTACAACTTCTTTTTACGTCCTAGGCTCGTTTTCTAACAGATATATCATAAAATCGTGTCCAAAGGATGTGGCTGTCCTTTGCCTCTTGCTACGTCTAGGTTCATCCTCTACAGGATCAATATTAGTCGTAGCATCCCGAGGTATCACAATATTATTGTCATTATTACCACTTGATTTATGTACTTTGTTATACGAACATACGTCTTCAAAGAATGTAACTTCCCTTGACTCAATAACCGTATTAACGTATATATCTGAGACATCAGATTTATAAACCCGAAACCAATAGGCACTACTATTAAGTGCATAACTGATGAATACACAATTCGCGATTTTAGGTTTGATTTTTAACCTTTTAGGTTTAGGAACCGCGACCTTAGCCAAGCACCCCCACACTCTAAAGTATTTCAAGGATGGTTTCTTTCCTTTCCATAAGTCATATGGTATGCTCTTTGTCTTTTTGTGAGGCACTCTATTAATAATATAGTTAGCTGACAAAATGGCTTCCCCCCACAAATTCTGTGATAGACCAGGCGTGATTAACATAGCGTTCATCATTTCTTTCTACGTTCAATTTTTCCTTTATGCATTCCCATTTGATTGCGGTGAATATGGAGCTGTTGTTTGGTGTATAATACCAGACTCTATGCAGAATTCCTCGAAGGGGCCATCATATTCACCCTCACGATCGCTCCTTACTATTTTAATTTTCTTGTTAAGTTGATTTTCAACTTCACTTTTATATTGCTTAAAAGCAACAATAGCTTCATTTTTACTATTAAGTAAATACACATAACAATATCTACTGCAATCATCAATAAAAGTAATAAAGTATTTTTATCACCCCTAGATGGTACAGATTTCATATCACATATGTCAGCATGTATTAAATTTAACAACTCGGTTGATCTTTCAATGGATTTAAAAGGTAATTTCAAAATTTTTGATTCGCACACACTTGACACTTATTATTTATACATTCAAATTTAGGCAGTAAATCTAAATGAGTTAAGTTCTTAATTGATTTTAAATTAACGTGTCCTAATCTATTATGCCATAAATTAGAAGACTCAAGCAAGTAAACAGAAGTAGTAGTATTATTAATATTATTGTTATTGTTTACAGTCATCACATTTAGGTTGAAAAGGTCCTCACTAAGGTAACCCTTTCTTACATACACATCACTCTTAGTAAGTATAAACTTATCAAAAACAAATACAAGTTTAAAACCATTCTTGCTCAACAAAGATCCAGAGACTAAGTTCTCACGAATATCAGGCACATGAAGCACATCATTAAGTGTCATTATCTTGCCAGATGTCATATTCAAAGTCACTTTCCTCACACTTTCAACTTTTGAAGTAGATGAATTATCCATATAAAGTTTTCTCATCGTTATTTGTAGGAGAATAGGAGGAGAACATTCACTTGTTTGAACAGACATGTTTGGTGGCACCAGTGTCCACCCACTATTTCTTAGTATCTCCCACCAGATTGCACTTCATCACCGCCGTTGCCAGATTCAGATCTTCAACCTTATCAGCAATATCAGCCATGTTGGCTTGGGTGGTATTCTTCTTCTTGAATTTGTTTGGCTTCTTCTGATCTTTCTTTTGTTCCTTCTTACAGTCCCTTGCACGGTGGCCAAAATTCCCACAATTGTAACAATTGCCTTTGAACTTTTTTCCTTTTCCTTACTTAGAATTTCCTTCTTTAGAATATTTTTGCTTCTTTGACTTTGATCCCTCTTCAACAATATTGGCCTTAGAGATCATAAGGTTGTTGCCATTTTTCTTATCAGAAATCTTATTATCTTCCTCTATCCTCAATCTCATGATCAGATCATAATGGGGAGTGGAATTGGCAAAACTTTTGCAACATTTTATCCCCAGAAGTTGTGAGTCATATTGCAGGTATCAGTCCTCCCCACCCAGATAATGGAGAGGATAAAGTAATATGGGACTTCTCCAAGGATGGAAAGTTTTCTACTTCCTTAGCTTTTACTAATTAAAATCCTAAGGGTCCTTCTCAAACTCAACTCCACTAGAATGCTGTTTGGAGTTGGGATGACCCCCCAGAATTAAAATGTTTCTTTGGCTGCTACTTGTGAAAGCCTTTTAACAAATGTGAGAAGAAAACTTAGGCATACGTCAGAATTTGATCTGTGCCCTAGGTGTGGCTCCTATCCCAAGGATTGCCTTCATGCTTTGAGAGACTGGCTGGGATCGTGAAATTCGGAAAAAATTCATCAACCCAAGGACGTGGTATACTTTTATTAGTCTGCAGCTAGAGGATCATGTGGTTTTGAATCTGAGCAAAAAAATCACCTTCTTGGAAGGACAAACATGTATAACTTTGTTTTGAATTATATGCTGGTACATGTGGAAAGAGAGAAATATTTCGATTTTTGAAAACAAAAGCAGCAGGGAAGACGAAATAGTTAGAGTTGATGGTGCCTACTTTGCTAATTTCGTTCATGCTAAGACCTTATATAAGAAGGCTGATCTGGTGTGTGGCCACAAGTCTGAGGTTCTTATCTGTTGGTTCCCTCCCCCTTCTGGCTAGTTCAAAATGAATACATATGGATCTGCTTTGAGGCATAACAGGCAAAGTGGATATGGTGGAGTGTTGCGTGATTGATGTTGGTCGATGGATCTTGGGTTTTTCTAGAAATTTAGGGGCTGGTAGTTCTGTCAAAGCTGAACTTTGGGGTATTTTATTAGGATTGCGAATTTCTTGGGATCAAGACTTTAGGAAGGTAGTCCTGAAAAGTGACTCACAGGTTGCGATTAATCTGGTGAAAAAGAGCTGCTCCACCCAACACCCCGTTACTAACTTAATCAGCAAAATCAAAAACTTACTTATTCGAGGATGACAGGTGATTTTCTCCCATGTCTATAAGGAAAGAAATGATATAGATGACTGGTTTGCAGGTCTTGCTCAGGGATTCAGTTGGGAAACTCAAATTTTCTCCTCTCCACCTGAAGGATGTTTGGAGCTGTTAGGCAGAGATAATAGGGGTATTGCTTGGCCCGTATGATTACTCAGATGTAATTTTATTTGTTTTTATTTTCCTTGTCTTCCAAATAAAAAAATACAAATAACTATGTATTTTCAAGATTGAAGAGAAGGAGGTTAATGACTTTTTGATTGTAGAAGAAAAAACAAAATTGAGATTAAATTACATACCGCGAAAAGATAACAACACATATACATGCATGGATGGAGGCATGGAGCCACTCCGGGAATATACTAATTATTGACTAAGAGACGGAGAATAAAATAAACTATTGTTTAGAATCATTATGAAGTTCATAAAAAATGAGAATAAGAAAATAAGGAAAACTAAAATATTTTCATATTTTTCTGTTCCAAAATCAAAATAAGGAGAACAAATACGAAGAACAGCCTTCTAAAACAACAGGTTAAAAACAGACAGTCAAGTAAGTTTTGTTATTTCAGTGGGTGAAAACATAAAATTGCTTTTTTAAACAAAAGAAAACAAACAGCCCCCAAAATTTTACTCTTGGAAGTTTCTTTGTGGCCAATCCTTCATAAGATCTGGCTTTTACATTAGACAGATATTAATATTGGCTTTATTCACATATAAACCTAGCTACCAATAGGCTGTGATGCCAGTCTTACAATCTTACCTGTAATATTCCCTATGAAAAATTAACACCAGTGGTAGATTACTGGATAATTTTCGTATCAGAATCTATGTTTCCATTTTTCCCCCATTAACTTCTTTTATTTTTATTTTGTAAATTTTATGTATTAAAAATGGGTTTTACATTTGTTTTAGGGAAATGTATGTATCATGTAATTTAGAGTTGTTTTTCTACCCAAACAAAAACTTACGGGGCTCACAATTTTTTCTTTTCTCTTTCCTAAACTCACTTTCTCTTTTTTCTTTTATATTTGTGGTGGAACAAACATAATTTTTCATGTAACATTATACTAATATAACCCTTTGTTTTATCGAACTACTTTTTTTTTAAATAGCGGGTCCCACACTTTTAATGTAGCTGTAGTAGCATTACCTATCAAATTTCCTGCAATATTATAGTTGTATTTCCCATGTTTTGAAAATTGGATCAAACTGACCTGATGAAATGGTCAGAGTTTAAAACGGTAGAGTTTCTGAATAATTACTATATAATTTGATCCAATTACATTTTATAAAGCTAACTAGTTCTCGTTCGTTACTACAAAAATATTCGTTTTTTCTATGGTGAATACAATTAAATTGACTTTATTAAATTTAAAAGATATTATTTTGGAACGAAAATACAAATATTTTTATAATTTTAAGTTATTTTGGAATTATAACAATTTTTATTAATATAATTTTTTAAACTCAAAATAACATTATTTTGAAAGTAAATATAAATAATTTATTTGTATTAAAAACGTTAAACTCCAAAAAAAAAAACAAACAACAAACAAAACAGGTGAAATTATTAGAAAACGGCGAGTGAGGTGTGAGGAAAATGAATCACAAAAAATAATTAGAAGCTCCTTCCCATATAATTTTTCTAGGTCCCATTCACAATAAAAAAAATATTTTGACCATCTTATCATGTTTTTTCTTTCATTTTCACTCTTTACCCTCTTAAAAGAGATCAACTACAAATTCTACGCGCCTGCACCGTAGAAATACTTCTCGTGAATCAGAAATCTGAGCGTGGTTACGTGGCACGTAGCCCTAGTTCGCATTCGGCCTCCACACGCCCCAATTTATGGACCAGTCACTCTCTCATTTCCATTCTTGTTTACTAGGCACTAATTAGCGTCTCGATTCTTCTATTTCCCAATCTCACACACACACTCTCTCTCTATCGATCATAAACCATGTCTTGGCTCCTCAGATCTAGCAAGGCGAAGCTCTTGTCTTCCTCTGCTTCTCTCTCTAGAACCTTCTCTTCTCTCCCTCGTTCCAGCCATGGTCTTGATCGGAGCTCTCCACCTCAGATCGGAGCACTCTCTCCCGTCGTCGAACTCTTCCACCGCAAGACCGCTACTATGTCTATCGGTACTCCTCCGTTGACTCTCAACTATTCTCGAATTTTTTATTCGATTATGTAATTCATTGCTTCTTCTTCAATTGATCTATTTCCATCTCGATGCAGAAACAAGTTGAGGAAACGAAAATAATTAGGTTGTCAATAATAAGGCGCAGAGAATAAATATAATTTGAATTTTTCTCTTTTCTCATTCATTTCCTACATTTTCTTAGCTCTGGAGTATTGAGTGTTGGTGCTTCTGGATCTGTTTTTTAAATTGAGTATTTGTCTTGTTTTGTTGAAGGAATCGTGTGATTTGCTCTATTTGCGTAATTGCGTTCTTTATTATTATTATTATTATTTTTTCTATAACAGTTGGTGCTGAATTTTTTGTTTTGTTTTGATTGATATTTCTTTTTGTCGCCTATGCCATTTCAGCGAATGAAAATTCTTCCAGGGAAAATTTGACCGGTCTCCCCAAAGTTCCAGCGAATAAGCTTGGCAGTGATTCTAGTGAGATCAATTCTTTGGTATGCGCCTTTCTCATCACGTGCATGTGTTTTTTGTTCTTTGTGAATTCTCTGATGGTAGTCACCGATGATTTTTCTAATTTTTAACAATACTTCTTTGATTGAAATATTTTATATGTACCTTTGACTCATATTTGCTCCTCTAATGTTACATCTATTTTTTGCATCTCATATTTTCCTCTAAGAGTTGTCTTTATTTGCTACAGTAATTTTGTTATATTTAGACGAAAACTTTTCAAGTTAAAACTAGTTTCTTTAGTCTGCAAATTAGTATCAATTTAAACTTGTTTTGTCTAAAATTTGACTTGTTTAACGTCAAATATCAGTTTGAAATTTTAAATAGTATCACACACACACACACAGAGAGAGAGAGAGAGAGAGAGAAAGGGGGGGGGGGGGGTTACTAATAGTGGAACTTTGATTTAAATGGATGGTAGAAAATAAGTTTTGTGTTGTATTTATTTTGAACTAGTTTTTACTTAAAATTTAATAATATTATAACTTGTTCTTCGAAGTTTGTTTAATCATCAAACGGAAAACTTCGAAACTAATAATATTAGAACTCTGTGGTTCTGAACAATAATTGTTGGCAAGTTTTAACAAGGTTAGAATATAGTCACCTTATTAATGACCCAGTTTTTAGCTAAATACTTTCAACATTAAATGAATTCAGAGGAAAATTAAAAAAAATTAGACAGGACCAACTAGAATTTGAAAATGAAATTTTGAACCCATTATAAGCTACAAATTAACAAGCTTGAGCAATTTTTTTCATACCCATAATGGTTACTTGACTTACTCTAAGGCTCTAGCGGCACCAAGTGCTATCTGAATGCAAGTATTTCTGTTTTGAATTCATCATCTGAGTGCAGTGCATCATGCAGTAAACCGTTACTGCAGTACTGATAGATCAGAAGCCTTTGACCATGCTCTGAACAGTATCCAATTAGCTCAACAATATTTACATGTCTTATTCTGTCAATATCATTTACCAATTCAAGAAACTCATCATCCTTCTGGTGATCAGAAGTTTTATTGTCCAGTTTCTTGACAGCAAGCAGCTAACAATTCTTAAAGAAAGAACAAGTGTCAAAATATGATTGTATAAAATGTTGTGAACATAACAGTCTCAGTTAGAGGAAATTGAAAACTTACAGTAGTATAAAATGCACCTCCACGCTCCACCATAACTTGGTTGTCCTGATCCTTTCCCTTTAGATGCTCCATCCTAATATTGTTAATGAAAAAGCTTAATGTATCAGTTCTTAAAATAATTATAAAATAAGAAAGCAAGACAATGCTTAATGTTTTATTCTTATAGTAATAATAAAATAAGAAAGCAAGACTAAAAGAACTCAGCATATTTGAGGTGGCATATCTGCAATTTCAAATCATCAAAGGCAATTTTCATCGCTTAATACATTATCAATTGTCATATAATAATCCTCAAAACAAAGTGAAAGAATATAAAGATTAATTAGAAACAAAAGAACTCTCTGTGAGATGTCAATCTCTATTAAAGTATATTAATCAAACGGAAAATTTTGAACTAGGTTTTACTTAAAATATAATAATATTAGAACTTGTTCTTCGAAGTTTGAGAAATCATCAAATGTAAAATTTCGAAACTAATAATATTAGAACCCTCTGTGATTCTGAACAATAATTGTTGGCAAGTACCTGTTGTTGTCATTGACAAATTATCTTTTGCTAAACCTTCTACATGATGCTTAGTAGGTTGTGATTTCTTTTTCTTCTAACTGGCGACTTCTTATTTGCAAGTATTGCAAAGCTTGATATTTTGACGTGGATAGGTGAAGCCGTGAACTGTTATCTTTAGGTTTAGTGGTATCTTCTCCTCTCATGACATGATGGATGGTATGATGGCGGCTGTAAATCCACTGTTGTACCATCTTGCACCAAATTCAATTTCTTTTTTTTTTTTTGCTCTGAAAAAAAAAGGGAACCAGTACATAACATTGTGCCACAGAATGTGACAGAATCATTTACTTAGCTCTGTTAAGTTTCTGATACCTATGGAATTGTGTTCTTATGTCAGAGATACAAGGCTTCTGTACAGGACATCAATGTGCTGGCTGGAGCTAGATATGGTGCTGGAGTTTGGGCTGCCAAGGGTCCAATGCTATTGGTGAGTTCCTTAGCTAGAAGTTTATCTGTGATTGAGTTGCGTTTTCTATATGGCTTTCCAGACGTGGCTGATTATATTTACATTTTCAATAGGGAGTCAATGCTGTGATGGCTAAAAGTTTTTTGAGAAGTGCGGATACTGACACATTGGGATTGACTGATCATAAGCGTTTTATGAGTGACAGCCCAAGTAGAATGAGTGAGACAACACCATCTGCTCTTCGCCCGTTATCTCCTCATCTTCCTGTTTATCAGCCCCAGCTCTCTTCGACGCTTTCAATTTTCAATAGAATGGCTGGAGCTTACCTATCTGTTATCGTTGTGCTTTTTTATATGATCTATATGAAAATGGGTTTGATTAGCCTCACCTTTGATTCTTTCTACCAGTTTCTATTTTATTCATCAAAACTCAACCTACTCGCCATTGAGATTTCTGCCTTAGCCATGTCCTATCACCTGTATAGTGCAATTCGTCATTTATTCATATGATGTCAGTCACAACTGATAACTGAACAGTACGTTTGACCCTGAGGTAATTTAAGCTTTTCCTTAATTCATGCTTGGTTTTTTATTGTCTCAATTACTAGAGCCAAGCGGGATATGTTATAAGGGTTTGCTTTGGGTTGAACCATTTATTCAGCTTTTGTAGAAAAGGCTTAATGTTTTTATTTTTGCTTTTGCTGTAGAAAAAATTTCTGTCACAGTTACATTAAAGTGAGTGGGTCTCATTGTAAAGAGAAGAGAGAAAAAGATCTCATGGATTCATTCATTTTTATTTGAGTGTGGCAGAGAAATTTTTTCTATAACAAAAGTAGAAATATTTTTCCCTAAATTTGCTTCCGAACTTTTTTTCATACCTTAGGTTAGTGTATAACATGTCTTATTTTCAGGTGGAACTTGCTTCGACTATGGAGGCGTACTTCCGTATGTCATAAGGAACTTCATAAAACAGTGTTCCCATTTAGATAATGTGAATTTGCTTTTCTGTAGATGTTGTTACAAGCTTAATAATTAATTACAGTTGGAGCACAACTTCATGTTTAGTGCTGAGTATGACTACATCTATCTTGAATCTGACGTTTTGTTTTGTTTTTTTTACTCCCTCAAATTGCATGTACGTAACTGTTGCATTTAATAAATGCATTTGAGTTTTGGTGATACTTAAAACACATTATCACGACTGATGTAGGTGAGCATTTATTTTATTCGAGGCATAGTTATATAGTTGGGACGGGAGAATATTTTTTAAGGCGTGAATAACCTGGAAAAATGGATAACAATATAAAGACAAACACGCTTAGAGAGATAGCAAACGATGATTTAGCTTGCATAACGTTGGAAAGCTTTGCCGAAAACTCCCACGACAAGCCAACATGAGGTGGCATAGATGGCTAAGGAGTCTGCTCATACCCCAAAAGGGCGTGGGTTCGATTTTCTTTAGCTGCTTTGAGACTCATGTTGGTGGATAAACTGTTAAGCGGGCTTTCTTTCCGTTGTCCTTGGCGTAAATTTTTATTGAGGTTGAATATGTCTGTCTCGATCTTGGTGGGTTACATGCCGGTGTCTCCTCTGTCACAACTTTTGTCGTACTCAAAACTCCCATGACAATGAAATAAGGAGGTAGGAGAAATCTCTCTGAAAGAAGTATAATAAACTCTTAAAAATCTCCGCAAGGGTTTTGTTGATTTGTTTTCCTGTACCCGTGCTTGGGTTTTGTGATTGCAAAAGAAAATTTGAATTCTACTTCATTTGATAGAAACCATAGTGTTGGAAGGGGGGGAATGCTTTTCATTACACTCGTAATCATCATATTATTCTCAAACGTCATATTCTTAAACAACGTATAAAGTATACAAATTATGTACCCAAAAAATATATAATAATATGAAAATTGTGCATGAATTACTAACTATTTATTATTTAAATGCTTTTTCCATTGGTTTGTCACAAATATAACAAATTACTTTTTATTCTTATTTTTTAAAAAACAAGTCATCTTCATTGGCAGTGCAGTAACGTCAAAAATAAAAAAAAGTTAGCTAGCAAGTGCCCATTTAGATGGGCTTTTTTTTTTTTAACCAAAAGCTGTTCTTTTTTTAGAAAAATATATTTCTACTGCAAAGTCCGTTTGAATGTCTGAAAAATAAAATAAAATAAAAGTCATAGATATTAGAGTGTATAGTAAAGCTTTTGCTTTACTTAGTGATCAGATGTATTTTACCTACTGTAGTATCGGTTGTATATGATTAGCTCTTCACTCTTTCTTAGTCTGTTATTACAGCTGTTAGTGTTTGTTAGGTTGGTTAGGAACTGTAGCTCTATAAATAGAGCATTCACGCATTGTGTTCATTAGATTCAATATACAACAATGACTTTCTTTTCTTTCTCATTTCTCTCTCTTTACAAATTCTGATATGGTATCAAAGCCTTCTTTCTGAAGGCCTGATCCGTTTTACTTCCATCAATGTCTTCCGCAATGGTTTCTTCACCTGAAAATCAAGGCAACAGTAGCGAAAATCGTAGCTCACGAGGTACAACAATGGAGAACAAAACTCCATCTCTCTTCCACTATCAAATTTCTGTAAAGCTCAACGAAGACAATTATCTGTTTTGGAATCAGATAGTTGAACCTATCCTAACGTCACACCAGCTTCACAAGTTCTTGGTAAATCCAAAAATTCCACTCAAATTCTTGACTGATGAAGATCGAGTGAATGATGCTGTGAATCCAAAGTTTGAACAGTGGCTCATGCAAGATCAGATGTTGTTAACTTGGTTACTCTCCACCATCACTGAATCTGTGGTGAATGAAATTCTTGGAGTTAAGCACGCATACGAGGCCTGGGATCAAATACACAAAATATTTCATGGAAAGATGAAATCCAAGACTCGGCAACTCAGATCAGAACTTCGATTGATCAAGAAAGGTACGAAAACAATTTCTGAGTTTCTCTCACGAATCAAGTCGCTATGTAATTCCTTGAAGGCAATTCGAACTCCTGTTTCTGAAGATGATCACATTGATTTTATTCTCGAAGGTTTACCTTCAGAATACAATTCCTTCGTTCTTAATTTTCAAAGTCGTGAAAAGGCTTCGTCTTTTGCTGATCTCGCAGTGGATCTTGTGGCTTTTGAACAACTTCTACTAAAACAAAGTGAGAACTTACTCACTGATCATGTCTCAGTCAACGTAGCACAGGTGCACAAAGGCACTAAACCAGATGCTTTGTTCAACTCTGTTTCTTCGAATGAAAAGCAGTGCTTGAACCAGTTAACTCAAGCCACTGATTCTCATGTTTCTGATCGCTCCAATGGTCCGTACAGAGGACATGGAAGATATAAGGACACTTCAATAGAGGCAGAGGACGTGGTGCTCGTACAAATGTCTATTGTCAACTTTGTTACAAGTATGGCCATGATGTTCACTCTTGTTGGTTTCGATTTGATGAGAGCTTCGTTCCAACTTTGGCTCCTCCTACTGGAAATGCATCTCCTTAATTCTTTGAAGCTCAACAACAATTGTCTTATCACAATCCCCAACAACGACAAAATGTTCAACATTATCAGCCCCAACAGAATCAGTTTCCAAGATCATATCAGTATGTTCGTCCAACTAGAGTGTCATCTTCTCCTCAAGCAATGATCACAAGTCATCAACATTCTGGATTACTTCCTACACCTAACACTACACTAGCATTGGAATGGTATCCAGATTCAGGAGCAAGTCATCATGTCACAACCAATCCTATGAATCTGTTACAGAGTCAACAATTATCTGGTGCTGATCAAGTCTTCATTGGCAATGGTCAAGGTTTGCCTATTAGTTCTGTTGGTATTTCAACATTTAAATCACCCACTGATCCTAAAATTGAGTTATCCCTTAAAAACCTTCTTCATGTTCCTTCAATTATGAAGAACTTGTTGAGTGTTAGTGCCTTTGCCCATGATAACAATGTTTTCTTTGAATTTCATCCTACTAAATGCTTTGTCAAATCGCAGGAGTCTCGTAAAATCCTATTAGAAGGCACACTTGGTCAGGATGGGCTCTACTGCTTCACCAACATTGTTTTTCCTTCTACTTTCACTCACTCTCAGTCATCTCCTCTAATTTCTGGTTGTAATGTTGTTCAAGCTTCAGATACAGTGTCTGTGTCAAATTGTAGTGCTGTAAATTCCAATTCATGTACTCAAGCTAATATCATTTCAGATTCTGCCTATTCATTGTGGCATTGTTGTTTAGGACATCCACATGATGTAGCTCTCAAAAGTGTACTCAAAACTTGTAAGATACAATTCAATAATAAAATTGAACTTGATTTTTGTTCAGCATGTTGCAAAGGCAAGGCTCACAGACTTCCCTCATCACCATCCACCACTGTGTATCACTCCCCCTTTGCATTAATTTACAATGACTTATGAGGACCTGCACCATTTAAGTCAACCTCAGGAAACTCCTACTACATTTCCTTTGTTGATGCTCACACTAGATTCACATGGTTGTACCCCATTAAACAAAAATCTGATGCACTTGCTGTTTTCAAACAGTTTCATAGTATGATTAGTAATCAGTTTCAAACATCCATAAAATCCATTCAAACTGATTGGGGTGGGGAGTTTTGATCATTTACACAATTTTTAAATCTTCATGGCATTCTTCATAGGATTGCTTGCCCTCATACTCACCATAAAAATGGAGTCATTGAGAGAAAACATAGGCACATAGTTGAAACTGGCCTCACTCTCCTTTCACATGCTTCCATACCAATGAAATTCTGGTATCTAGCTTTTAATGCAGCTGTTTTTCTCATTAACAGACTGCCAACAACATCTTTAAGTTTTGAGGTACCCTATACAAAACTATACAAGCTTAGTCCTGATTACACTCTACTCAAAGTATTCGGTTGTTCTTGTTTTCCCTTCCTTCGTCCTTTTAACAAACATAAATTGGAGTACAGATCATAAGAGGGTGTCTTTCTTGGATACTCTTCTAGTCACAAGGGTTACTTTTGCCTAAATAAAGATGGCAGAATTTTTATCTCCAAGGATGTCATTTTCAATGAATTTCTGTTTCCCTTTGCAACATCCTGGACCTCAACTCAGGTATCTCCTCCAATATCTCCTTCTCATTTTCCTCCTGTTCCTCTTGCTGTTCACTCTCAACATACCTCAAGTAGTGCTGTTCCTCATTCTGTTTCTGATAACTCTTTGTCCAGCAGTAGTGCCTGTCCTTCACCGCATGTGCAGCCTAGTCTAGTCTCCCATGCCACAAATACTTCACCAACTTCCTCTCCTGCTGCTTAGTTTCTTGCTGTTCAGTCACCACCTTCTACATATCAAAGTAGTTCTTATTCTTCATCTCCTCCTACTTCTGTTTCTGATTATATCCCCTCTTCTTCTGTGCAATTGTCATCTCCCCACTCAATTCAAACCCGTTCTAAAACCTTGGCTAGATCATTGGCTCTTCTCACTCATGTTGAACCATCCTTTGTCAAACAAGCTATGAGTAGTCCACCTTGGCTTAAGGCTATGCAATCTGAATATGATGCTTTGTTATCTAATCATACTTGGACTCTTGTTGACTGTCCTCCTAATAGGAAAGCTATTGGCTGCAAATGGGTGTTTAGAGTTAAAGAAAACCCAGATGGTTCAATCAATAAGTATAAAGCAAGGTTGGTTGCCAAGGGTTTTCATCAACAAGCTGGATTTGATTTTAATGAGACATTCAGTCCCAGTGGTAAGACCTATTACTGTTCGGATCATGCTTACTTTGGCTTTGACAAATAACTGGATCATCAGACAATTGGATATCAATAATGCTTTTCTTAATGGTGACTTACAAGAAGAGGTTTTCATGGTCCAACCTCCTGGCTTTGAGCATGCTAAAAGGAACTATATGGCCTTAAACAGGGTCCTAGAGCCTAGTTTGACAAGCTCAAGACTGCATTGCTTCTGTTTGGGTTTAAACCAAGCTGCTGTGATCCTTCCTTGTTCACTCTCAAGCTTGCTGCTGCATCTGTTTACATTCTTGTCTACGTTGATGATATCATAATCACTGGTTCAGATTCTGCCTTCATTCAACAAATTATTTCTGATCTCAATTCTCAGTTTGCCTTGAAGGACTTGGGTCCTTTAGATTATTTTCTGGGTGTTGAAGT